TCTCTCTCTCTCCCCCCCTATCTCTCTCTCCCCCTCTCTCTTCCCTCTCTCTTCTCTCCCCTCTATCTTTCTTCCCTCTCTCTTCTCTCCCCTCTATCTCTCTCCCCTCTATCTCTCTCTCTCCCCTCTATCTTCTCTCTCTCCCCTCTATCTCTCCTCTATATCTCTCTCCCCTCTATCTCCCCCTCCCCTCTATCTCTCTCCCCCCTCTCTCTCTCTACACATTTCCATAGCAAATGCAAGGATCATATGGAGCAGACAGTAGCTTTGGCTGGAGTTTAAAGGAGAATTACGGGGAGAGTGAAAATCACTCATCCCCATAATTCAAGCAGACCTGGATACGTGACAATGAAGCTGTCAGGTCGGTTCTACTGATCGGGAAATCAATAAACACATACCGCCGATCGCTGACTTCCCCGTCGGCCACCACTCCCCGCAGTAATTTCCCCCCTCCTCTTTCCGATCCCCCAGCGCTGACTGCAGGAACGATCAGCCAGGGGTGTGGCTCTTGACAGTATTGCCAGGATCCGTCCCAGGTACGGTGCAGCTCTGCGCTCTCGGCATATAGCGGGCAATAGCCCGTTATATACTGAGTTTTGGGTCACCGAAGGACATTGGTATATGTCCTCCTATGATTCTGAAGAGAACTATGGCCAAAAAAAGGTTGGCCCATGGCCCTTAGTTCTCTTAAGTTATAGCAGGATCCTCTTTGAATAGTTGGTTTTATCCACACAGTTCCTTCATTGTAAATGAAGTACTGCAGTGAAAACATTTCCTATCTGTTCTGAAATACAGGTTAAGGCCCCACAATTCATGGGCAAGGGATGACGAGGACTCTTGCTTCTCTCTTAAAGGCTCTCATAGTATCTTCCAGTATTGGGCAACTTTATGGAGCTTATACCTGTTTGGGAAGCTATCCATTCCTCCCGTGTGTTGACCTACTAAGTGATATCTGCTCTTATTCCTGAAGGTTTCCTCAGGAGCTGAGTGTTGGAAAGGTCAGCGCGGAGGTTATGTGGAACCTCTTCTCACAAGATATGAAGTACGCTATGGAAGGTAAGAGGATAACCATGATTATGTGTTGAGTAAAGTGAGACCAGACTCCTTTATGGTGGCCCAATCCAGTTTTGACCTTCCCCATATATTGTGTTCCATGATACAACACTACAAGATGGCCCATTGCTTCCATGACTGAACACTGCCAGACAGTCCATTACTTCCATGACCAAACACTACAAGACAGTCCATTGCTTCCATGACTGAACACTACGAGACAGTCCATTACTTCCATGACTGAACACTACGAGACAGTCCATTACTTCCAGGACCAAGCACTACAAGACGGCCAATTACTTCCATGACCAAACACTACAAGACAGTCCATTGCTTCCATGACTGAACACTACAAGACAGTCCATTGCTTCCATGATTGAAAACTACAAGACAGTCCATTGCTTCCATGATTGAACACTACAAGACAGTGCATTGCTTCCATGACCAAACACTAGAAGACAGTCCATTGCTTCCAGGACCAAACACTAGAAGACGGCCCATTGCTTCCATGGCTGAACACTACAAGACAGTCCATTGCTTCCATCACCGAACTACAAAACAGTCCATTGCTTTACAATGGTGTTTAATATTGAAATGCATGGATAATGTTTGTTTGCTACTCACCTGTCTTTGATTTAACTCTGGTCAGCCTTTCAGTGAGACCTTTTGATGTGCGATTTTCTCTCCATATTTTCTCTTAGGAATATGCTCAGTGCCTTACTAAATGTTACTTGGCTAATATTTTATGCATACGCTCATCATAAGCCTTAAATTGTATAAAATGTCAAGCGATAATGCAAAAAACCCACAATATTGTGTTCCCATTTGTCTTCTGTGTCTGCATTGGGTCTCTGAGTTTATTTGGTAGTAGAAGAATGTTTTCATCACAGTGTAAAATCCATAACTGCTGCAAGTGTGAACTGGCCATGAACAGATCCTGGAGTGGACTCCGCTCATGACGTTTTTTTGTCTGGTCATCCTTCCAAAAATCAGCAAAGAAAAGTGTTCCATTTTTTGTTCTCTTTTTTTGTTTCTCCAACTTTTAAAACCCAGACATAGAAAGTTGTGATGTCACTCTAAGGAGGTGAATTTGACAGACCCTATTCATTATTGAATTGGACTCCTTTCGCCTCAATAGCTGCTGTATATCTTTGCAGTGACTCTAGAAGGGACTTAGTGGTGCCTTAGTGAAAACCCCAAAACAAAGATATAACCTACTGCAGCATACCAGTCCCGGAGATCTGTCGGTTGCATTATGACAGTCTGCCAATGACACATTTTCCTGTCCTAGGCGGCTGACAACCCTCACTCAACGTATATGGAGGAGCAGCATTTGTCATAAGTGGCTACCCTCCTGATTTGGACTATAAACATCTCCCCTATCCTCCTCTCCATTTCGTAGAGGGGTGTTACTTTATTATTTATTATTCTTCCCCATTCTGATGTTTGGAACTTCAGCAGATCATCCCGACCATGTCTAAATGCCTAACTGCATTGAGTTGCTGCCATGTGATTGCCTGATTAGATATTTGCATTAACGAGCAGTTGAACCTAATAAAGTGGCCAGTGAGTGTAGGGTTTGTCCCATAGGACTGAGGGTTCTCTTTATTTCCCAATGAGTCAGGAACAGGGCCAGACAATCCGCGTGCTGCATTCTGGTCCTACGGCTGAAAGTTTGGAATCTACCTTCTTCCTTCCTCTTGGCTTTGTAATACAATAAGTCAATGGGCGCCCTTTGACTCGTTCAGTCCCGCTGTGCTATGAACGTTCGCCTCCTGGCTGTATCCTGCCGAGTTTTCCTTCCCCGTTTTTATTTTAGTCTCCCAAACCTACATATGAGTCAGCCAGAGGTCACACAACAGGGCGCCATGGTTCACGTTAATTGTCCGAGTAACGAAGAGCAATACCGACTCGAGGTGTATATAGGTCCTTCTAATGATTTCATCCAGACCACATAAAAGAACTTAATAATGAGCGAATCTGTTCTATCAACACTGACCCGATCTGCCATCACCTCTTTGTATGAGTGTCAGGTTCTAGAAAGAATAAGTAGACAGACGCAGTTTATGAAACGGTCTGTGTTTGTTTGGATGGGTAGATATGGAGCTAATATTTATATCACGTTGCACTGTAAGGATAATCCAGTCTTTATATGTAGAGTTTAGCTGTATTCTAAAAGTGTGGCAGAGTATTAAATAGGAAATGTAATCCTGTAGTCAATGTTCTTCTGGAAAATTATTGAACTTTTACAAAGATTAAGATAAACCAGAAATGTCCTATTGCATATAGTAGAGAAATCCGGGGGTCTCCTGAGGGACATCGGAGGACAACTGTTTCAGAAAAAGAGTAATATTAACCTTAGGAAATGATTGTCAAATAGGATGAGTAGTGGAAGTCCCTGGCCGGCTCCATTTGCACCGCCCCAGGTAACACCCTAGGGTAGAAGGTCTGCTTATTCAAGGTGCCCCCTTCCCTTAAAAGGCTGGATGAAAGTGCCCAAAAAAAGTCTGTGGGTGGGGTTTGTTGGATCATTTACTGCATTTACCTTTCCCCAGCTTTCTCCCATGTTACCTAGGCAAGAGTGATGTCATTCTCCTTCCAGACAGACCTCAGAGCATGCGGAGTAGCCCATATCTTGCTAGAAGTTATCCTGCATTATGCTGCAGTTCCTTCTCGTGAGATTTGGGCTACTCTGAATTCCCGGGATCTCATTGGCTGGATGTTAATGTCACTCTCCGCACCACAGACTTTGGGGAAAGGTGATTATATTATCCAAATCATTTTTACCCACTGAAAATGAGGTGTACAGTTGTTTCCATAAGCATTCACTGTAGCCAAGCATTTCTTTTTATGTACTGAATAGACACTCTGGGCTCTGGCCTTATCCGTGGTAAAAAAAAAGCGTTCGCTTGGGAATAACCATGGGCGAGGAAAGCTGATGGGCTGGGCTGCCATCGTTTCTCAACTTAGACCATTCAGATTCGGTGGTGGTCATCTCACATCTGCGGGGGCCGCCTAACAAATGTATTGCTTTTTCCATCTTTCTTTTAGCAATTCAGTCTTTTAAATGGAAAGACCCTTTAAGTAGACGCACAGTTCTATTTTTCCTTGAGATTCGACAGTCTCACATTACAGTAGCGTTTCTGTTGAAAGCCAATATTCCATTGCAATTTAAACAGCTGATTCTTAGAAAAGACTCCAGACATTGATCACGCTGGCTTTTGTCTTTGGTCTCACTGCAGTGAAAAAAAATCAAGTTTGTTGATGCATAGAAGAGTCATATCAATACATGTGTGGCCAACATAGGGTTAACCATGGATATGGGGAAAGCACCTGTCTCCCTGTGGTAGGGGGTAAGGATTTGGGCCGTTTGGAACTCCCATCAGCCCACACAGAGATTTCACAAATTCTTCCCTTCTCCCTATTGAGCTGTTTGTCCTGTTACATAGAGGATGACAGCAGGGGGTGGACAGACGTCTCAGCCCATGATTTTTATTATGTACCGTGTACAGCCAAGATAACTGAAATAGACGTAGGAGCCGTTTTGCCCCCCCTCTGTCCACCTTGGCCTTCATCCATCATTGTGAATATTATTTCCAATCATTCCAAAACTGCTTGTGAAAGGGCTGTCAATGTGTAATCATGCTGTCCACCTACCTTCCCATACCAATTCTATCCCCCTTCTAGACTAAGACATAATGATAATAGATGGGTTCAGTTGCCGATCCTGAATATCTGACAGTGATAAATGGTATATTGAATGGAGACTTGTAACACTCTTGTCTCTCCTTTCTCACCTGTGATATCCAAGTTCTGGATAAGATAAGTACCCTACATTGGCTGAGTGGTAAGTATCCCCGTAGTTCTGCCCTCATGGGTAGTTTATTGCTTATAGTCTTCCTTCTGCTTCTAGAAAACATACATTCCTCTATGACGTAGTTGAGCTTCTCCAAGGAGGACTCCATTGGAAACTATTATTTCTTATATGGTTGGCAGACTTCCTCTATAAGGTGTAGCTAAGCTTCTCAAAGGAGAACTCCATCCAATACTATTATATCTTATGTGGTTGATAGGCTTCCTCTATAAGGTGTATCTGAGCTTCTCCAAGGAAGACTCCATCCGAAACTATTACACCTTAAATGGTTGGAAGGCGTCCTCTATAAGGTGTATCTGAGCTTCTTCAAGGAGGACTCCATCCGAAACTATTATATCTTATATGGTTGGAAGGCTTCCTCTATAAGATGTATCGGAGCTTCTTCAAGGACGACTACATCCGAAACTATTATATCTTATATGGTTGGAAGGCTTCCGCTATAAGGTGTAGCTGAGCTTCTCAAAGGAGAACTTCATCCAATACTATTATATCTTATGTGGTTGGAAGGCTTCCTCTATAAGATGTAGCTGAACTTCTCCAAGGAGGACTTCATACGAAACTATTATCGTTGGAAGGCTTCCTTTGTGAGGGCCGGTGTACACCTAGGGGACCACGTGGCAATTGTGCACGATTCTGCGTGGATTGCCGCGTGGTCGGGAGTCGCCCAGATGTGCACTGATCGCGCTGTGGGTGCCATTATTTTCCAATGGCACCCCAGTCGCGCCGGGTGGATCACGCGTTTTCCTGTCGTGATTCCGCCCGTGCTTCTGAACACGATCGCAGCTTATATGGTTGGAAGGCTTCCTCTATGAGGTGTAGCTGAACTTCCCCAAGGAGAACTCCATCCCAAACTATTAAATCTTTTGTTTGGAAGGTTATCTAGCTAAGGCTGTGCATCAGGAGTTACCAGTTTGCTGCCAGCGTCTAGATTCCATGCTGTGAACCTACCCTCCTCCTGCTTCCACTGCCAGCTTGTGTTTGGCAGTTCCCACCTGGCTCACAGTGGGGCTGGTGCACAACTCCAAATGCTCGGTGGAGTAAGGGGAAGGTGGCCACAGTAAGAGTCAGCAGTGACAATGTTGAAAGCCACTCCACATCATCTCTCCCACTGTAGTACAAGCAGGCAGAG